AGGAGGAGCCAGAGGAGGAGGAGGAGGAGAGGAGGAGGAGGGAGGAGGAGGAGGAGGAGGAGGGAGGAGCCAGAGGAGGAGCCAGAGGAGGAGGAGGAGGAGGAGGCGGGAGGAGGAGGAGGAGGAGGCGGGAGGAGGAGGAGGAGGAGGAGGAGGAGGAGGAGCAGGAGGAGGAGGAGTAGGAGGAGGAGGAGGAGTATGAGGAGGAGGTGGAGGAGGAGGAGGAGGTGGAGGAGGAGAGGGGCGAGGAGGATATGTTCCCAAAGATGCTTTAGCATAGGGTTTCTGACCTGGCATCAACAGTTTCTTTATCGGAGATCTCTTTAGGCTTCATGTCGTCGTTGCTGCTCCTGTGGTTGCAACATTGCTATATGCAGCTGATGAGGGCTTCTATTGTTAATGCATGTATATGTTTATGTTGTTTCCCCACATGTAACTCAGCATAAGGGGTCTTTCCCGACATTAAGAATTGCTTTATCGGAGACCTCTGCTGGCTTTGCTGATGTGGTTGCTGCTCATGTCGTCGTTGTTGCTCGTGTGGTTGCAACGCTGTTTCTTCTTGTTGGTACTACTTTGCTGGTGAGGAGTTGTATTGTCAATGGTTTCTCATGGTTATATTTCTATGGCTGATGTGCTGGGCGCATTGGCCTTCGCATTGGCGCATGGTGCCATTCCTGGTGGGCTGGAGGCCTCTGCTGGCCCTGGGAACCAGCTGTGGGCCAGGCGCCTTGACCTTCGGAGAGCGGCGACGCTCACGAGGATGGGCGCTCCTCCCAGCGGGCTGGAGGGCAGGGGTTGAAACGGTGTTTTGGCGATTTCGTGGGCCGTTTTTGTTTCGATTTCGTTTTGCGTTGCAGGCGGATTGAAGACAAAACGAGGAAAAACGAAAACAAAACGAAAACGAGAAACACCGTTTAGGTCCAGCCCTGCTGGAGGGGTGTGCCGCTCTATAGGCTAGCTGTAGGCCTGGCGCTTTGGCCCTCGAAAAGAGGCGACCCTCAAAGAGATGGCGCCCTTCCTGGTGGGCCGGAGGCCTCTGCCGGCCCTGTGAACCAGCTGTGGGCCGGGCGCTTTGGCCTTCGGAAAGTGGCGACCCTCACGAGGTTGGCGCCTCCCAGCGGGCTGGAGGGGCTTGCCGGCTCTATGGACCACTTGTGGGCCAGGCGCTTTGGCGAGGCGACCCTCACAAGGATGGCGCCCTTCCTGATGGGCCGGAGGCCTCTGCTGGCTCTGTGCCAGCTGTGGGCTGGGCGCCCTTCGAAAAGTGGCGACCTTCACGGGGATGGCGCTCCTCCCAGCGGGCTGGAGGGGCGTGCCAGCTCTATAGGCCACTTGTGGGCCGGGCGCTTTGGCCTTCGAACAGAGGCGGCCCTCAAAAGGATGGTGCCCTTCCTGGTGGGCCAGAGGCCTCTGCCGGCTATGCAGGCCAGCTGTGGGCCGGGCGCCCTGGCCTTTGAAAAGTGGCGGTCCTCACGAGGGCCAGCTGTGGGCCAGGCGACGTGGCTACTTCCAGAAGGGTCCACGGATGAGGCGTCGTAGGCGTCTTGGGCATTCTGTGGGGACACTTGTGGGCGTCTTGGGAACTGTTTGGAGGCTCGGTTAAGCCTACGTATTGGATACAGTTCTGAAGCGTCTTAAGGGGCAGTTAGGGGCCCATGTTTTAAAAAGGCTTTTGGGGGCCTGTTGGGACGGAAAGAAAGGATTTCCGGTTCATGCTCTCCCTCTTGGCCTCTTGGGGTGATCTTTACCCGTCTTAGGCCCCTCTTTGGGCCGTCATGGAACCCACTTGGGCCGTCCTGGGGCCCTCGTAAGGGCCTCTTAGGCAGTTTGGGGGCGATCTACGGGGCCTCTTGGGCCGTCTTGGAGCGTCGGAAACTCGAGAAGACGATAACCCCAGAAATGATGAAACAGCTAAGGAAGACCATTGTTTGTTGCCTCTCTGGGCCCTCTTGGAAAGGCTCTTGGGCCTCTTGGGGCGTCTCGAAGGCGTTTTGGAGCCATCGTAGGCGTCTTGGGCCAATCGTTTGGCGATTCGGGAACCTCTTGGCACATCTTTGAGGCCATGGAAGCGATTTGGAAGCTCTGGGGTCTCCAGGGGGGCGCCGGGGAGCTCGCGCACGCCCCCCGCCCTTCAACGAATTTTGGACCCTGGGGGAAGGGGAGGGGGGAGGGGGACAGCCACTCCTCGCCTTCTCACTCCCGGCAAGCAGGGGTCGGCGGATTTGGGGTCGAGGTCGGGGTAATTTTAAACATCCGCGGCATCAGAGCCGCCTTACAGACGGCCAATACCATCAAGGTGTACACGCACCCCCGATCTCTTGGGATGGAGGCCTTTGCAGAGCCTGGACCAGACCTCCTTGCGCCGAGCGTTTCCCGCAGACAGACGGAGGAGGAACCAGAGGAGGAGGAGGAGGAGGAGGAGGAGGAGGAGGAGGAGGAGGAGGAGGAGGAGGAGGAGGAGGAGCCAGAGGAGCAGGAGGAGGAGAAGGATGAGGTGGAG